ACAAATTAGTCACTAAATAAAGAGGTAGATACACATCAAAGTAAGTGTTTCCTCAAGAGCTCTTTGGGTGAACATCAGAAAGGTAACAATAGTGGCAAGAGGTCCAAGTTACTCTGATGGTGCCCAGGATCTACGTTGCCTTCCTTGAATCACTATAAGTTAGCTGTCTGACTAATCTGACCAACCAATGAGGATGGAAGTATGATGCTGCATCAGTTTCCAGGCTGCCTTAAAAGAATGGCCAGCTTCGGAGACCTGTCTCTGCCATGTAAAAAGTTGAACTCCTCTGATGGAGAGACCATGTGGGGAGGCTCTGAGACTATACAGGGGGCCAGCTAAACCCCGCCTGTCAGCCATTCCCATCAAGTGACAGGCACATGAGTAAGGCTGTGTTGGACCCTCCAGACTAGCCTAACTGTCAGTTAGAACATTACCAACTAACTCTGGGTGATGCCATATGGAAAAAAAGAATCATCCATCTGAGGCTGCCCAAATTCCTGACTCAAAACTTGTGAGATATAATACAGTGGTTCTTTTAAACCACCAAGTGTTGGGCTAGTTTGTTCCATAGAAATAGATAACCAGAATGCACTTCAAGTGTGATCTTAGTGAATACAAAGCTGCCTGCAGTAAGGATGCAGAAAATGTTCCATGTATATCTCATGTAGATTTCCAGGGTTATAGTTTTAATCCTGTATGGTGAGGTGTCCTGAAACACCTGAGTTTTGTTCAAGAATCATTCTCTCTAGAGCAACAGATCTTGGATGTTGCCAAATGATACTGATTTGTTGAGGGGGCTGGAATAAAAACAGTATCAGTAACCATGTGGAAAAGATGTTTGTTAAAGTGAAAATAATACATTTAGGAGACTGGAAATGCTTTGTGCTAAAGATAGCAATGGTTATTGAACGTGTAAATTTGGCCAAAACTGTGAAAAAAACCTATAATAATCTCTATGCAGGGCCAATTAGGCATAAAGTGACCCACATATTTATTACAGCAATGACTAGATTGCTACGAGCTCTTTTTCAAAATTAATTAATTATTGTGGTTAAAACATATCACAAAATTTACCATCTTAACCATTTTTAAGTGCACAGCTCAGTGTACATTTAACAGTAGTGTTAAGTATATTAACATTGTTGTGGAACAGAACACCTAAATCTTACCTCATAGAATTGAAAGTCTATACTCATTAAACAACAATTCCTCTTTGTTCCCTCCCTCCAGTCACTGATATATTTATGAATTTGACTTATGAATTCTGATAGATACCTCAGATAAGTGAAATTATATAGTATTTGTCTTTTTATGACTGGCTTATTTCACTTAGCATAATGTCCTCAAGGTTCATCCATATTGTAGCATGTGATGAGATTTCCTTCCTTTTTAAGGCTGCATAGTATTCTAATGTATGTGTATACAATATTTTGTTTATCATTCATCTGTCAATGGATATTGGCGGTGCTTCCACCTCTTGGCTATTGTGAATAGTGCTACTATAAACATGGCTGTGCAAATATCACTTTGAAACTCTGTTTTCAATTCTCTTGGCTATATACTGAGAAATGGGATTTCTGGATCATATGGTAGTTTTATCTTTAGTTTTTTGAGGCACTACCATACTGTTTTCCCTAGCAGCTGAATCATTTTACAATTCCACCAACTATAGGTTGCTTTTAGAGGTGTAACTGTCATATCTATAATAAGATATTGCCTTAAGTACAATGGAGAGATCAACAGAAACAAAACCCAGGTCATTATCCTTCAGATACATCAATCAGGAGAGTTTAAGCTGATCACTATTTCAAGACACTGATCATACATTCACTATGTCTTTTTAAATGATATATGTAATTTAGAAACCTTATTTTTAGACAGTTTTAGTGTAATTGGGTTTGTGTTTTGATTTACATTTTGACTTTTGTTTAGAAAGACTTAGCTATAATATTTTAGGACTATTTTAATAACCTTTCTCTTGTGTTAAAATTTGGATGCATTATAAATCAATAAAAAATGTTAAAAAATTGAATGCAATGTTTCAAATCTATAAAAAATATATATAAAAATATCTGAGTAGTTACAACTCAGCATCAGTAAAACCATAGTTTGGGCATATTTCTTTAGATCTGTCCCCAAGAGTAGTGCAGTAGGGCAGGAAAAAAAAAAACTCCAACAAACATTTCCACTCCTGATGACCATGACAGCAGCAAGCAAGAATGTCTGAAGTCAGAGAAAAGAAACCAGTAAGTAAATGAATTCATACTTGCTCTTCCTGTAGTTTGAAAGGAATCATGGGCTGTGAAGTCTTGCAGACCTGGATTCAAGCCCTGGGTTCAAGTTGCTTAACTTATCCCTGCCTCAGTTTTCTCATCTGTATAATGGGGATAATCATAACACTTCCCCAAGATTGCTGAGAGGATTAAAAGAGAAATAAGGGCACTTCTATATCTACTAAGTACATAGTAAAGTGTCAAAAAATATTTGTAATTACTTTTTTGGTTTATTGGGCACCTCCTATATGCCAATCACCCTTCTAGTGCTGAGACTTCAGGTGTGAACAAGAGAGATAAAGACCTGATTGGGGCTTACTTCCAATGACAGACAATAAATAAACAAGGTAATTTCAGATAGCAATAGGGACCATAGAGAAAAGGTAAGCTATGAGAAGGGAATGCAGGAGCTACTTTAGTCATGGGAGGCCTGTATGAAACCTTCAGAGGTGAAATTTAACTGAGATTAGCAAAAAGGAACTATTCATTGGTAGCTATGGAGAAAAGTGTTTGAGAGAGCAAGAACAGTATGTGCTTAGGCCATGAGACAAGAAAGCTTTGTTTGTATAAGAAGCAGAGAGAAGAATAGGATGGCTCTATCTGAGGATAAGGGAGGCTGGAAATGACATCTGAGAGTAAGGAAGGGCAGGCCCAAGAAGGGCCTTGCAGCCCATAGAAAAGAGCTTGGGCTTTATTCTTAAGGGATTGTAAAGAAATTGGAGGGTTTTTATTGCTATTAGGTACAGTACTCTTTGCTTGGGGGAGAAATTTGTGTGCTTTCTTGCAGCTGTGTTTTAGAATAATGTGCATGTATATGCTTTAGGAGTAAGTTTTCTGGGAATACCACTTTGGTTACTCATGGGCTCCCCCTGGTGGTGTTGGTGGCTAAACATACATGGTTTTAGATAAGCAATAGCCAAGCAAATAAGCCATTGACCCCAAGGCAAATGAGCAATTGATCCTTTTAGTCAACAAACATTAACTGAATGCCCTCAGTGTGACAGGCTCTGTTCTACTGCTGAAATGCATCTGTGAACAAAACAGACAAACATCCGTGCCCTCATGGAGCTCACATTCTGGTGTGTGTGCGTGCGTGTGCCCGGTCAAGAGGGAGGGAGAGATGTTAAATCAAGTTCACTTGCAAATTTTTGGGTGGGATAAATGTTATTATAAAAAAAATTAAGTGAGGGAACTGGGCTGGAAAGTGCAGGGAGGGTTGTAGTGCTTCAACTTTAAATGTTGTGTCCGGAAAGCTCTCATTAATAGGGTGACATTTGAACAAAGATGTAAACGAAGCGACAGGGTGAATGATGCAGTTATCTGGAGGAAGAGCATTGCAGAGGAATCATCAAGTACAAAGACCCGGAGTCTACGCACAGTTTAGAGAAGATTAGCAAAGAGGCAATGTGACTTGAAAGGAGGGATAATGGAGAGAGTAGATGAGGTTATTTGTATTGGAAGGTATCAAATCTGAGGGTCCTCTAGGCTTATGTAAGGATTTTGGTTTTCATTTGAAATAGGAATCCATTTGAGAAGGAACCTGATCTGATTAAGGTTTTAACAGGAGCCCACTGCTGCTGTGTTACTAGATCGTGGAAGGGCAAAGGTATAAAAAGAGCAAATGGTCACACATTGACTGTGGCTTGTATTAGTAGAGGCAATAAGTGATCTGGAAAGATTCTGAAGGCAGATCCTGCAGAATTTACTGATGAATTAGATGTGGGGTGTGAGAAAGAGGAGTCAAGAATCTAAGTAAATGATATTACTTAGTAAATTGTTGCCATAGGAAGAGCTGATCAGAGAAGGTACAGCCAAAAAAAGAAGGGAAGAAAATACTTTAGAGGTGTATCAGTTAATTAATAGTGTTTAATTTTTCTGGATTTTCTGTCTTTTGTGAAATTAAGAAAAATTTTAACTTGTGATCTCTCATTCTAAAGATTAATTTTAAAAATATTTTACTTATTTATTATTATATTATCTAATCATTTTATTTTGGCGGGAGGAGTAGGTAATTAGGTTTATTTTTAGAGGAGGTACAGGGGATTGAACCCAGGACCTCGGGCATGCTAGGTTTGCGCTCTACCACTGAGCTATACCCTCCCTGCTAGAGATTTATTTTTATACCTAACATTGTATTTGTTTTATGGATTTCCTTAAAGAGAGCCCCCAAATTGAATAAACTTCAGGCCCTCATGAAACCTGAATTCAACCCTGCTCCTTGCCCATATGGGGGTAGAAACTTAATGAAGCATTTAAAAATTATGTTTCTGATTAAAATTATTATATAAAATAATGTGCATGAAATAGAAGTTAAGCTCAACACAATATTAGGAATAAACTAATATTGGGGATTAAAAACATCACCTTGGGCTAGCCTCCCCTCAAAGTGTCTTCCAAAACTTCCCATTCTTTCTCCCATAATTTTTCTAAATCTACCAAATACATCCAACATTTCATGCTCTCTCTAGGGAGATAGGGATTCCATGCATTTTAAAAAAATCTTGAAAAATGAGTGTTGAGTTGGCTTTTTTGTTTGTCTGTTTGTAACCAGAGTTGCTTGTGCCCCAGTGGTACCAAGACCCGGGGACAGCAAGAACCAGCCCAGTCGCACCAAGCACCACAGAGTAGCCGAGCGGGGCGTAACCAGGGGCGGGGCTCCCGTGGGCGGTGGAGTAGGCGGGGTCTAGGCCTGACACATGCGCCGCGAGGCTTCTGGCGGAACGAGGTGTGGATGGTGTGATGACCCTGGCCGCCGACTTCCGGTTCCTAGGGATGCGCATCCGGGTTACGTTAACGCCGCCGTTTCCTCCAGCCGCCTGATTCTGCTGTGGGTCTGGACTGGCCCCCATGTCCTGCCCTGGGGCCTCTGTAGCCTTTGGGTGAGTCTCCGTCGCGGACATGGTCTGAGTGCAGCCGGTCGAGTACAGCCTGTAGAGGGACAGGTCAAGAGTTCTGTCCCCGTCCCTGCGGGTGGGGGTTCTCTTTGCCTGTCCCTTGTCCCTGCAGTACTTCCTGAGCTCACCTCATTTCTTTCCCCCACACCGGCTGAGTCTGTCTCGTCGCCGCTCACCTCTCGCCTCACTGTTTTTCCTCAACCTTATCTGCCCCTAAAAAGCCCTGGTTTCTTGCCTTTCGCCTTAGCGCTTTCTTAAGCCACTGCCTCTCTATTTTGCCCCTGCCCTCACTTCCCCGACCCCTGATCCCGGGATCTCGCTTTTACCCACCAGGACGGCCCACGTCCTCGTGCTCACGCTGCTGCACTACGAAACAGCCTGTCTCTCTTTCTTGGATCCGAGGTCCTGATCCCCTAGCTTTCCTCGCCTTTGACCCCTAACACCTCCCAGGATGAGTAGGTGGCATTTGCGCCTCCCCTGGGGTTCTCCCGCCTTTTCTTAGCTAAAGGAGGCTTTTGCCTAAGCCCCAATCTGGGCAGATTTACGCCCAGGGGGATGTTTTCCTTAAAGCGCTGGGTTAGACTGAACTCTGGTAACTTCCGTAGTTAGGGAACAACAAAGGCGTTCCCAGTTCTTCGCTGGAGCACAGTTTGGGGGCCTTTCTCTAAAGCAGGCTAACAGGTGGCAGGCACACGGAACTGCTAGCAATTGAGCTTGTGTAATCTTGTTAATTGACAGGCCATGAGGACGTCCTGTCATTTTTGTGTTCTCTATCCCAAGAGAATGGATATGCACAGCTGGGGCAAAAATGCGGATGTTCTGGGACGATCAGCTCTGTTTTCTGCATGGGATAGTTGCTATGACAGAGGGCAGAGTTTCTCGGGAGATTATTTGCCCCAGATAAATAAGCTTATTGACAAAAATTTTAGTATGCTGTTAAACTGAAACGTTTTCTGCTAAAGAGTTTACTGTAGTAATTTCAAAGTACATCTTTAGTTGAACTCAGCGTGCGTGTGTATTTTTAACCTTGCTTCTTATATATTGTTTCTTCGTTTTTACTGTACTGACAGCGCTTCTATTTTTCTTCCTGTTTCTCCATAAACCAGACATTGGAGCACTTTATTACTTAACATATTCTTCTGACTTTTTTTTCTTTATTGTTTTCACCTTAGTCTTAAAACTTTTTTTTTCTCATTTTGAAGCTTTAATTTCTCTGTAGGCTTTTAATCATCTCGAAAGTGAGGGGTTGATTTTAATAATGGTTAATGTCTTGTTTCTCAAATTTTGTGATCTGAGGTATTTTTAGAGGCACAGAGTTAGATAATTTTTATTTTTGTCTTTCTAATGTTTTTGGTGTATGTCTAGCATTTGATTGCAGATGTTTTTGTGTGATCAGTTTCTGTAATCGTGAATTGTGTTCTAAAATTTAGTACTTCAGTGAACGGAATAAATACAACTTTTAGCATCTGCTTTTCGTTTGACTGCTGAGTTATAGAAAAGTCTTTCCCATTATGTATTATATGTGAGCATAGCATAGACCTTGGCTTATTCCATAATTGGGCTGATCCCTTCAGCTATTTTTAGCAAAGGACTTTGGAGCTTGGCCATATTAGTCCTAGAAGCCACAAAGAATGACCCTTCTGGTTGGCTTTTAGGACTTACCTAACTGGTGAGGGAAGCCCTTTTGTACCTCCTGGCTCCTGTTCAACCTGGCCTTAACATCCTTAAAAAGTAACCCCATCCCATCCTTAAAAATGAACCCCAATGAGTATGAGCTCACACTCTAACTACTTCTTACCTCCAAGTTGGTGGATCTTTTTTTTAAAGTCATGGAAACTGTAGATAGACCTATATTTGGATTGATGGAAGGCCCTCTTTCAACCTTTTTAATTTCTGAACTTTTTAAAAATTAAAGTTCTTAGAAGTGTTTATTAAAGTATAGTTGAGTTACAGTGTTGTTTATTTCCAAATTTTTTATTTCTTAAGCATGTCTAAGTCTAGAACCTAGATTGATTTCTGTAGTTTGCAGCTGAAGAGAACCGTAGCTTTCAATCTTACACTTTCATTTTACAAAATATGGAAATCAGGATTTAAAGAATTGGTGGTGATTTTTCCAAGGTCATTTTTCACAAATAGAGAAGTTCTGTATATACACTTAGGGAAATGGATTTTAGTTCTTTCAAAGCTGTAGGCTGGAGAGCACAATATACTATTTAGTGGTTCATTTCAGTAAGTTTATGTCATAGGAATGAAAATTTTAGGAAAAAAAATTTGTGACAGATTTTAAAAATCAGGGCTGAAGTCATTTTGCCTTCAAGGGGGACTCCAGAAAGAAACTATGTTGTACAGAAGTAGAAGTTGAAAAGTGTTAGGGAGTCTCTTTCTTTTTTTCTAAAACCACTTTCGTCTATTATGATATAAATTCCACATAAAAGCCCTTACGTGGACGAACTTCCTATAGTCTCATTAAAGCAGTTGTGTTCATGGTTCTGTTCTTCGTACAGAACACTGATAGACTTTCTAATTACTGAGAAGCCGCACCTCTTACCAAGCTGCCAAACAAACCAACAAAAAAACTCAGGAGAGGAAGCACTGTTGGTTTTCTGTAGGAGTTTCAGCTCTAGTTTGGTGAGGTCTTAGTTTGTAACCCTGAGGGCTCAATTTAAAGTACATTTCTGCATATTAGTTTCATACCAGGTTTTTTATTTTGTTTTGATTTGATTTTTTTCATTAGTTTTTGTCATTTTACTTGATACTGTACTTTGTTTTACATGGTTTAGTTTCTATCCTTGGACACTAAGATATGTTTTAAGGAAAATTCAGTTTTAAAAATTCAAAAGTTTTACACTTTCACCATGTCCTTGCCATTTGTACCTTGTGGTACGATGGGTTTTGTGATCTGCCTAAGCCACAAAATGACTTCATTCTTCATTTGTTTTGCTCACACACAAAAGGCGTATAGGACATCTCTTTTCGTAGTTGTTCGTCTGAAAGATTTTTGTGTTCTGCATATAACAATGGGATACTTTAACTTATGCATGATTTATTGGAGAAAGAATAGTTCAAAATAGTTCAACATAGAATAGTTAACATAGAAATAGTTCAAAATGTATTTAAGAATATTAGGAGTAGTTTATTTTTCCCATGCATTCATTTAACTGGTTTATACCAAGGGGTTGAATTGTTATATTTAAAGTAAAGTGGACTTTCTATATGTTGATTAACTTAAAATACAGGTGTATGTTTTTGTACATAATATATGGTTTAAGCTATAAACTGCCTTACTGATATGTTTTATTGGCAGAAAACAAACAATGGAATAGCAGCCACATCATCATCTTGATAATTTTACTTGATCCCATCAACCTAAGTCCTAGGGTATCTAATTATTAAATGTAGAAATAATCAGGGCATTATCTCTGTTATTTATAGTATATTTTAAAAGATACATGGAATACGGGCTTCACACAGTTTATTTTTGCTATTTTTCCCTTTTAAATATATAGTAATATTCTTCAGAAAAAGAAATGTGTAAATAGTGCTGACTTATTGTAAGTAAGTTAACATATCAGCCCAAGGCAGTCAGTGCTTAATAATCTTTAAAGATCTTGCTACAGATTGTGTTGGATGCACTTCATCTTATTAGCTGGGTTAATAGTTGTACTAATTAATTTGTTTTTATTCACCCTAGAAAATAATTAGCAATAATCTTTGTAATACGTTTCTTTCAGCAAATTTTCTTTTTGATACCTACTTTGTACAGTCATAATAATACATGTACAGACATTCATGTGAACTAGGTGACATTATACAGGGCTGATATTTACACTTAAATTTTTAATTTGATTTTATTTGTGCATATTAAGACTTAACCTGCATCATCATGGTGTAAGAAAAAAATACAACATAATTAGAATTAAAATAAGCTGTAATCCTAAGAAAGTGTCACTTATCAGTACAATGGTAAATGAATTTTGAAACTAGATTTTATGATTTTTCTTTCGTTTTCAAAACACTTAGAAATTTCCTATCATTATTTGATAATCTGTATCACAGCTTAATTAATATAAAGTCATGTTCTTTGTTTTTAGGTACAATTAGATAATTTTCATTTGGGAAACTTTTTCATAGGTGAACTGTAAAAATCTGTAGTGGTAAACAGTAATTTTTAAAAAGCACATTTTACATAGTATTTACTACGTGCCTGGAATTACCCTGAGTGGTTTACATACAGTTTTAACTCACTAATCCTTACAACCATATGAAATAAGTACTGTTCTTACCTCCATTTAAAACTGAGGAAACTAAGGCACAGAAGTTACATAATTTGCCCAGAGTAACACAGCTAGTTAGCAGGAGAGCTGGATTTGAACTTAGTCTTTTTGGCTCCTGAGTTCATGACCTGTTGTTTGTACAAAGTTCTACTAGTTTAGTGATTTCTTTCATTATAGGTTAAAAATCCAATTTCTCTGAAACACAAAATAACTGCTTTTGGTCGGGAACCTTAGGGGGGAGGTGTTTACCTGGCCTTTTAATAAATGCTGGCATAAGGCAAATTGCAAACCCTTTACTACCTAGGTTTCTTAGATAGCAAAAACCATACATTAAGAAAGCAAAACAGGGCCATATCCTTACCTCTTTAAAAAAAGATCATATGAAAGTTCATTACTTTTGAGGTATTTGGAGAAAAGGCAATATGCTTAATAAAATGCATTATATATTGCTAAAATGTTTACCCCTTGACATTAATTTTTTTCCTTTTCTTTGATCTGCATAATAGTACCTAAGTTTATGAAATAGTCTTAAACTCTGAAATCTTACTGTCCCTAATATGAATTTATCAACTTTGACATATAAAACAGAAGACTTAAAACTGAAATTTCTGACTTACCTCTAATCTCGTTTCCAAATTTGGAAGTTTGTGCAAAATTAAATGCATCCATCTCTTCAGGACTACCATGTTTACAGTGATATATTTAAATTAG